AGAAATAGTGAGAATTTGCAGATGCGCTTCACCCCAGTTGGGTCAAATTAAGATGGCGAAATTTGCTTATCGGGTGTTTTTGGGGGAATGGGCGCAAATTTGGATTTTCGAGGCATGTTTGTGACTATTTGCCCTGGCTACTCTCTTCTTATATCAGTTTGTATGTTTTTGCGTGGAAAACGTGGAGTGGACCTGCAAAAACGGGGGCGCGATGCCCCCACCCGGAAACCGGGTGCAAATACCAGCAAAAGGGCCCCAAATAACCGCAGAACGAGCACAAATGCAAATCATGTTAGCAAATTGTTTTTTTGCAAAGACACGAGCGTTTGTGGGGAACAAGCACTTTTTGAATGTTTGGGCAAAAAATAGTTGGCTGAGCAGTTGTTTTTCCCCGTGGCACTTTTTTTTGTAACAGTGGAAGGTCCAGGTTTACGTAACCCATATGAAGAAAATTGTGCCATCTAGTTTCAGTTTAAAAGGTCCTGCTCAACCACATGTACCTTTGTTTTTTTTTTTTTTCCAACAACCAAGAGTTTGGGCTGCTGCTTCTTTTTAGGCACGAGCATTTAGACACATGGCGGAAAAGAGACAAATGGGTGCTTCAGAAACTAGGAGGGCCCTCACAACGATAGGTTTTCCTTTTGGCGTCCCTTCAACTACCAAGCAAGAGGGGTCCATTTTGCCAATTCAAACACCGATTTGAGCACAATATATCCTAGGACAGTTCGACTGGAGGTTGGCGCGTTTCCTTTGCTTCAGTTCTCATGCTAGATTGCGTCGTGTCCCCTTGTTGTGGTGTCCCACCAACGGAGAATGGGATTAGGATTTCCCCCCACGTTGGTCCGGGTCCAAGTAGTGTCGTTCGTTACTATTCCAGCATGTCAAGTGAAATTGCCATGGGAAGGTTGGTGCCAAAGACCCCTCCTAGTGCGCCCGCCCGCCCGCCCCGCGCGCGCGTGCGCCATCAGGAATGGCTTGAAAGCGTTGGCGATGCTGGCAATGCAGCCGGGCTGCAGATTCCTTCCCTCAACTCGAGCTTCAGTGGCCGCGCGGGTGGTGATGATGCACGATGTGAGGGGTCGGCGGCAGTGACCGTCTCTCGGAAGGCGAAGCCTAGGCATGTGCCCCTTTGGGCGACATTGCACGGCGAGGCCGAATTTACGATTGCACGGCTCATGGTCGGCGCATGGTCGGCGGCTTGGGGCGGACTCCGAGCTAGGCCTGCCCGATCACGTCCGGTGGCCGGATTTACCAGGCTGCCCCAGCACTATTCCTCTTGGGCTCAACTGGCGGAGCAGGCTTGGCTCGGGGCTGGGGTGTCCGGCACATCCAGCATGGTCTAATTTTGCGAGGTGCGAAATGTTGCGCGGTCGGCGTGGTCGGGGGCGGTTGGGATGGTCGGGATGGCTGGAGGGCTAGGGGTCCGGGAGGGCTAGCACGTTCGAAAGTAATGAGGTGCAAAATGCCATCAAGGAGAAGTAGACGCACCCCCAAAACCAGGTGTCATTTCGACTGAACAAAAGCCCTGGTGTTGGTCCTGGACCCCTGACAATCCACATTTTGGGTGTTTCCCGTATAGGGCATAGTTCAATAGTTGCAAACCACGCCGGTCCTGTCCTGGGTGTGAGTATGTGCTAATGGCAGGAGGGGTCGGCGGATTTTATCACCCAAGTTTTGAGGAATCTCTTTTTGGGGGACTCCACATTGGCAATCATTTGCAGAGTGCCCGCACACGTTTCGGATCGAAGGAGCCAGCCAACGTCACACAGCCACTTTACTCGTCAGTCGCCCGTGGCAATTGGTGCAGTGTATGGACTCAATCCCCCCAACACCAAAGGGCCCCCACTTAAAACCCGTGCTCACTTGGGATAGATGAAACCCTGTGAATGCTGATTAATGAACCACCCAGCTGGCGCGAAGCTGATTTTGTCCATCCACAGTATGGAGCGCTCATATTCTTCCACCCATTTCTGCCCTGACCTCCCTCCGTTACAGCATCCTATCTTATTTATTGATATCCTACCAATTCCCTCCTCCTTGCTCATTCACATATAATAAAGAAGAGATGAATAACCTATCAAAACAAACACACAAATTATATCCCCCCACCCACCCATCCCCACCCCCCCCCCTCCCCCCCCCCACCCCCCCCCCCCCCCACTCCCCCACACTCCGCCCTCCCCCCCCCCCTCCCCCCCCCCCCCCCCCCCCCCCCCCCCCCCCCCACAATCCCCCCCCGCCCCCCCCCACCCCCCCCCCCCCCCCCCCACCCCCCCCCCCCCCCCCTCCCCACACAAAACCACCAAACACAAACACAAACACAAACACAAACACACACACACACACACACCACACACACACACACACACCACACACACACACACACACACACACACACCACGCCTAACGCACGGCACTCGCACGCACGCACGCACGCACGCACGCACGCACACAAACACACAAACACACAAACACAACAAACACACAAACACACAAACACACAAACACACAAACACACAAACACACAAACACACAAACACACAAACACACAAACACACAAACACACAACCACACAACCACACAACCACACAAACACACAAACACACAAACACACAAACACACAAACACTCAAACACACAAACACACAAACACACAAACACACAAACACACAAACACACAAACACACAAACACACAAACACACAAACACACAAACACACAAACACACAAACACACAAATACACAAACACACAAACACACAAACACACAAACACGCAACCACGCAACCACACAACCACGCAACCACGCAACCACGCAACCACGCAAACACGCAAACACGCAAACACGCAAACACGCAAACACGCAAACACGCAAACACGCAAACACGCAAACACGCAAACACGCAAACACGCAAACACGCAAACACGCAAACACGCAAACACACAAACACACAAACACACAAACACACAAACACACAAATACAAACACACAAACACACAAACACACAAACACCAAACACACAAACACACAAACACACAAACACACAAACACATAAGCACCCAACCACCCAACCACGCAAACACGCAAACACGCAAACACGCAAACGCGCAAACACGCAAACACGCAAACACACAAACACACAAACACACAAACACACAAACACACAAACACACAAACACACAAACACACAAACACACAAACACAAAACACACACACACAAACACACAAACACACAAACACACAAGCACACAAACACACAAACACACAAACACACACACACACACCCACACACACACACCCACACACACACACGCACACACACACAGACACGCACACGCACACGCCCACGCGCACGCGCACGCGCACGTCCACACGCACACACGCACCCACGCACCCACGCACCCACGCACCCACGCACCCACGCACCCACGCACCCACGCACCCACGCACCCATGCACCCACGCACCCACGCACGCACGCACGCACGCACGCACGCACGCACGCACACACGCACACACGCACACACACACGCACGCACGCACACACCCACACACGCACACACACACACACACACACACGCACACACGCACACACGCACACACACGCACACCCACACACACACACAACCACACCCACACGCACGCGTGCACGCGCACACGCGCACGCACACGCACACACACACACACAACACACACACACACACACCCGCACACACACACACAGACACACACACACAGACACACACACGCACCCACACACAGACACACGCACGCACGCACACACTCACAGACATGCACACACACACATGCACACACACACACACACACACACACACACACACACACACACACACACACACACACACACACACACACACACACACACACACACACACACACACACACACACACACACACACACACACACACACACACACACACACACACACACACACACACACACACACACACACACACACAGACACACACACACACACACACACACACACACACACACACACACACACACACACACACACACACACACCCACGCACGCACACGCACGCACGCACGCACGCACGCACGCACGCACGCACGCACGCACGCACGCACGCACGCACGCACGCACGCACGCACGCACGCACGCACCCACGCACCCACGCACGCACCCACGCACCCACGCACCCACGCACCCACGCACCCACGCACCCACGCACCCACGCACCCACGCACCCACGCACCCACGCACCCATGCTCGCACACACGCACACATGCATGCAGGCACGCAGGCACGCATGCACACAACAAAGCAAACGGAGCACGCTATTGCAAAGGCACGTTCAGCCTCATTACGTACATCGGGTTTTTTTGGATCATTAAACCTGCTTTGGCCAAGCTGGCTTCATCATGATAATCTTTAAGCGTTATGCCTGATGGTAGTGGTTTCCCCTGTTGTAGTTTGGTGTCCCTCCTTGGATTTGGGATTGGGGATCAGGGCTGGTTTGATCATGCTACGCCCAATCAGGGAACCCTAATTTGAGTTTGCGCCAAAGGGCAAGCATGGGCGTAGCAGCAACCCGTTTGAGTCACCCAACCAAGCTGCCCTGAGGACGAACCAATGCTGCCGCGGAGATGGCAGCTGCCATCTCGCTGCAGAGGAGGCCCCAAAGCAGAGCGCTCCTGAAAACCAACCCAGGGCTTGGCCTTAATACCTTACAGTCCGCAAACAAACCTGGAAGTAATTACACAGGAACCCTTGCGAATTGAAAGTGCAAAAAATGACGGGGTAACCGTTTGGAGAGGGTAACCTTTTGGAAAACGTCGGTGTGCCGAGCCCGTGCGAACCTGCACAAAGCCGAATTTTTGCTCGGTGCCAAAGACCAACTCATTACCATGCCGCCAGAAACGCTGCAAACTGAGAAGCTGTTCATTTTAGAGTCCCATGTCATCTTACGTGGGAGTAGTGCAGTGAACAGATCTTGTTTATGTGACGCATGGCCGATCTTGGTGCGTCTTGAGTCTGCAGCCACAGCGAGCTGACAGCTCGCTTGCGCCTTCAACCATTTGAAGCCTGAATCGGCACATGGAAAGTCGCGCGCTGGTCGTCGCCATGGAGAATTTGCCAAACTGGCTGAGGAGCGGGTGGGGCATTGCCTTGAATTGACACAAACATGAGAAGGTTTAGCAGGCTCTGGCTTGAACTCTATTGGCTTCAAGGATGCTATTTGCACCATACACACGCTTGACACCATTTTCTAGCCTGGATGCATAGACTCATAACCAGAAAAAAGAATTGTGGCCAACTCATCAAAAGCAAGGATTTCCAGCATTTGTCATAAAGTATAGATTCATAGAAGCCACAGAATTGTTGGCTTGAATGCCCGTACCAAAAGCCAAGGAAAACAAAGCTCTAAACCGGAAACGTGTTGCCTTAAATACCTGTACCAAAAGCAAGGATTTCAATTCGCTGTGCGAGGGGCGCTCACTTGAGGAGCCTTTGGGAGGAGCCTTCCTGGCAAAAGATGGTGGCGCTGGCATCCGCGGGAATGCTGGGGCAGGTGCTTTGGAACCACTATGGCGGCTCGGACGGCTTCGATTTTTTCCCCGCCCGACAGGAAGGGGTTGTTAGATTTTATGCTGGAATCCGCGTTTGCGATGCTTCTACACCACGCCCCCACCCAGTATCCCCGCCAGTGGATCCGGCCGAGTATCCCGCCAGAGCTCGCCGAGTATCCCACCAGAGCAGCCCGCCAATGGATCCCGCGCAGTATCCCGCTGAGTATCCCAGAGTAGCTCGTTAGTGGATCCCGCCAAGTATTCCGCTGAGTATCCCTTGCCGGTGGATCCTGCCGAGTGTCCGGCCAGTATCGAGCCGGAGCGGCTCGCTGGTATTCGCCAGTGGATCCCGCCAGTATCCCGCCAGAGCAGCTCGCCAGTCTGGTTTTGCTTAATGTCCCGCCCGGCGCACAGTTGGGTTTACATTTCATGTTGGTGCCTTCGTGTTAGTGTACCCTGAGGCTCGGAAAGCGTGATGCTTTTGTGTTGCTTTGGGTTGTGAATAAGCAACTTCGCTTAATCCCCCGTCGGGTTTCTTTTTTGGAATGGGCTTGGCTTTTGTTAATGGGACCGGTGTTTGAGTTCTCGAGATCGGCTCGCAGTGGAAGTGGCCGATGGGAAGGGAAGGGGCCGATGGGAATTTGGAGTCGAAGTCTCTAGGATGCGGAGGAATTTGTTGTAACGGTCGTAAGCTCGCGAGTGCGGAAGGTGGGAATTGCTCGAAGCGAAGTATTTTTTGCATTTCTGGTGCAAGCCGCTTGCTCAAACCCAATTTGTTGTGTTTTTTGTTGCGTCCTTCTCATTCGCTGGCCTCTGGCTGAGGGAGGGCTGGTGTGTCCTTGCGCGGGGCGGGCCCCACATCCTCATGGCCCACTTTCTGTGGCCCATCAACCGGCACTCAAACTCCTGATGCTGCTCCAGCTGCGCCCCTCTCGCATCCCGCCCCGGTGGGTGAGCCTGCCTGCCAACCCCCGGCCCCCCTGCTCGAGAGGCCGCAGCGCTGCTGCCGCCAGGGGCGATGGACCTGATCGGCCGACGCTTGGCGCGCGCACCTTGCGGATGGTTTCGACCCGCCACTTGTGGCGCATGTCGGTCCAGGCTTTGCCCGCCACAATGATGAAAGAGAGGCTGCAGCGCCGGGAAGGTGAGAGGGCCATCCTTTGGGCTGACCGAGCTCTCCCGCCTCTGGGCGGCCCGAGCTCTCCCGCCTCTGGGCGGCCCCTCTCGCCTGAGAAACGCTGTGACCTCGCTGGGCCTTGCCACTTCGACCGGCAGCCCGGCAACACCTGCCTTGCCGAAGGCTTGTGCCCCCACTGAGGCGGCCCTGCAGGCCCTCCATTCCTTCCTGCCAGCACCCATCTGCGACCTGACTACCTTGCCTGTGCACCCTGTCCCTGCAGATTTACATGCAACCACATGCCCCCCCCATGTTTCGGGGCCTCTTTGGGTTCCTCTTCAGGAGTAAATGGGGGCAGACGCATATCCTTGTTGGGTGAGCTTTCAAGGCTGTCCAAGCAAAGGCTTCAAGTTTGATACCATTTTCTTTTTGGGCCAAATCCAAAACGCCCAACCATTTCAAAGGCTTTCTACATCTGATGGTAGTCAAACTGCCGGGTCTGAGCTGCCTTCCGCTTCAGGTGTGCTGTTTCACAAGCGGCTGCCTGAGACGAACTTGGGGTGGCCGGTGGTGGGCCATACCCTCAGCATCTTCAAGTTGCGGCTCGGCGAACCCAAAGCACATGACGCTTGCTGGACTCGCTAACCTAAGCAAACCTTCCGGATCTGACCTTTCGGTGTTCAAAGAAATTAGCCCATGTTTAGCCATGGCCCCAAAAAGTTAACCTTGTATTTCTTGCGTCCTGGCAACGGAGTTGAACAATCTTGGCCCCGGATCCAGGTGAACCCGTGCTAAAGTGGTCTGAGCCCAAACTAAACGGGGACGCCCCCAATCAAAATCAACCTGACGTTTGATCCGGGATGCCCTTCGGCTCAAGGCTCAAGCTTTTTGAGCCGCAGCAGTTCAATCGGGGCGAAGCCTTTGCGCCTTTGGACTGTTTTGCGAATCCATGGCTTGTGGCCTATACTCATACCCCCGACCCCCCCCCCCATGTTTTGCCAATCACGCCTGGTTCACCCGCAACAATCCAATCAGAACAAGGGGCGAGGTAAAGGTCTACCGCAAGAAGGGAATCAGTCAACAGGAAAGAACAAGCTAATGGTCGGCAAAAAGAGTCACAGTATTGAGGATTGAAAAGAACCTTGGCCAGGAGCACTGCTATGTTGAAGGGAGGACACGCCGCTATTTGAGATCCAAGATGCTGAAGGCGTAGATTCTAGAATTTCAAGGCAAATGTGAAACACCCCCCTAAATGCATCTATGGCAAGTGCACACATAGCAAATGAGAAACTCGCTCACGCACTTATGAGGATTGCGGAAGGCACAAATGCACTCATGGCGAGTGCACTAGGCCTTGCCCTCCCACATTTGCCATCCAATTTTGAGGGTATGTTTTTCTCAACTGCTATTAGGATCTTTAGACTTTATCTTTTGGGATTCGTATCTCCTTTAAACCAGCAAAAAGTGTCACTTTTTGAAAAAGGGGGATCTACAGCACCCAAGGTTTGTGCGACTTCAAGGGGTGCCGGTTTCTTTTGGCCTGCTCACTTCTTGAGCTCATGGATTTTCATTTCTTGGGGAGGCCATTGTGGCAAGCGAAAAGTTCTGACCATAGGTTAACGATTGTAGTGGGTTCCTAGTGGTGAACCCTACAAGCTACTCTCAGCTACTCTCCGGCCCCGGCAGCAATGCGCGCTCTATGCAGCATGGCTGGAAAACGCTGGATTGCACAGCTGTGTGTGCGTGCGTTTATGATTGTTTATGTCTTCGCAGTTTTACTGAAAGTGATTCATAGCCACAAAACAACTTGTGAAGGAATCTGTTCTGGATGCCACCGCATGTTCAGAGGCGCGTCTGTTGGAAGCGTTTCATGTTGTGGTTCGTTTGGCTCACTTGCTCCGTGTCAGGTCTCTGGAGCGTTGGGCCCTCAAGCTTATGGAGGGCAGGCGGGCGTCGCTCAGATTCTGGCCTGGAAGGGTCTGGCCTTTAGCCCGGAAACCACAAAAGCACCTCCAAGGGCTTGATCCGAACAGGCGATAAGCAGGAGGCTTCCATGCTGCCATGGAAGCCGGTCGTCGTTGATCGCCGCACACTGAAAGTGCATGATTCGGGAGAACAGCCGACACAGTGTTGTGTAACTCTCCTGGCATGAGCTGACAAGAAGGAAAAACTAGAGGTGGGTCACAAGGGATGCGTTGAACTGTTGCTCGGACGTTGGTGGCTGGAGTGTTTGCAGCCAGGCTGACATCTGCTTGCAAGTTGAGCTTGCAATCCTGTGCCATGTGTTTTTTTTTTTTTGCGTTCCAGCCCCCAGCAGCCTGGATTTTCCTAGGACCGCAAGCAAGCTTCTGCGGTTGCTATGTACCAAGTGGGAAGCAGTCCCCTCCTTCCTTGCCCTGTGAAGTCAGCGTCCAATCCACTGAGTTGGCCAAAGCGAATCAAAACCGATCGTAAGCTTTTGGTTTCCCTGATCCATACTTCGTGAAAGTGGCAACAGGTGATCGCCTTTTCCTTTCCCATGTCCAACTTGGTTGCAAGCGAGTCCAGGATGTCATGCGCGACTTCACCCCCCCCAACCGATTTGGGGCATCCATTTTCTGGACGAACCGAAGGCCCTTCCTGTGGAACCCCTGGTGCCTTGATCCCTGGCATGTGTGCGGGCTTATGCGGCCTTTCGGTTTGCAGCGGCTGCATGCCCTGAATTGTGGCGACAGTTTTCTGGTACTGTTTGGATCTTGCTTCTGATTTCTGTTCAGTTCCCCTTCAACAGGAACATGCGGCCTAAAGTTTGCACAAATCTCAGCAGGCAAGTGCTGGTGGCGAACTACCTCTTCGAGTCCAGGGCCATCATCAAGTATGATGTTCCCCGGAACTCAGCTCTGGTTGGTGTCCCTGAATCGTTGCAAGGCCCTTGCTTGTGAACATGTTGGGGGGTTCTCACCACTAGCTTTGGTGTGGTTTCTCTTTAAGCCATCATGTAAAGGTAATTCCGAGGATGTCATGTTATGGGCCCAACTACCGCCAACTGGTGCTTTCTCCTTTTTGGGGGCCCCTCAAATGGTTGGTTTCCCTCTTGGTGTTCTTTTGCATTGACCTCAAGGAGTTTGCTCAGTTGTCAGCCGATCGTTTGACCTTTGCTTGGGTGTTCCTCGTGTTCATTTCGCGGAGTACAGTGGCGCCCTAAGTATTGCAAGGTGCCTGCGGGAACACAGGGCAAGTGGATTGATTTACTTGCACTATTTTGGGGCGTTCACCGTACCCAAAGGGTACTCTTATAATAACTCTTATACGTCCAGGTTGTTTGGGCGAGTTGTCAAAGATTGAGCTGATTGTTCTGGGATGTGGGTAAACTAAAGTCATAAAGAGCTCTGGGTCTCACCCATGATCTCTTGAAGAAACACACCCCGCCCTTGCCTAGGGGATCCCTGCTCGCTTTTGAAATGTCAGGAAGCAACATGCCTTATTATAAGGTAGCACAGCATAAACGTCCCTCAAAACACACCAAAGGGTTTATGTGATGCAACGCCTAGGCGTCCCAAACCCGAACCGAAACCACAGCGAGGGCCATGTTTCTTCTGGTTTCCCGTGCAGCTCCCCAGCCGGGTTTCCTTCGCTTCCGAGGTCTACACCAAGCACATCCACCGGACAGAGCTGGATGGAAAGCTATGCCCCGTGCTGGTCCCGGCCGTCCGAGCTCTGCGCCTCGGAACTTGTAAAGTGCTCCCTCAAGTGGTCCTTCACCACTTTTGGCTCTCTGAAAATTAACCCGGGTTTATGAATCCGGGGTTTCCATTAGATTGGCGGAGCTGGTAGGCGGAGGCGGAGCTAGGCGGAGATGGGGGGTCCCATCCCAAGATATCCCGGCAAGTCGTTGCGGCAGACCTTCTTCTCACTTGCCACAGGATCTTGTTATCCATCAGACAGCATCCCTAGGTCTGTTGCTTGTTGGTTGTTGCTTGTTGTTCTCTGAAGGGAGGAATCCACACAAATCCATCGGAAGTACTGTTATATGTGGGGGCGGCGGCAGGGGGGCCAGCCTTTGGTGACTCAGGAGTTCTATACTGCCTGTTGCTCCATGTAAAGCATTGCAAGGCTGTTAAATGAGCAACGCACAAAACTAGATTGTTGGTTTTGAATGGGCCCGCGGTATTGTCATAATCTTGTAAGCTGCTCATATATGGGGATGGGCATGTGCATGAAACGTCCGCTGCTATGTCTACCGCTGCCTGAGCGCATCCACAATGTAATCCCAGCACCCATTTTTTGAAGTAGATATCCCCTGAAGGGGCGAGCCCAGACCCTTCCAAAGGTGAATTCGCATTCGAAGTTCAATCAAGAACTTGCATGCATGACCACATGATCGTTGGGACCCCAAACTTGTGTGTTTCCCCACAGCATTATGCAGACGTTCGTTCATTTTTTTGTGAAGCGCGCGTCAAAAGGCGCAAATTTGCTGGGCCCAAAGACCATATGATTTTCAGACCAGATTCACGCAGATGTCAAGTTCCTTTTTCAGCTTGGACAGTTTGGCGGATGATTCCTTCCTTTTTCAGCTTTCGAGGAGGGGGAAAAGGGGGAGACGCCATGGGCCAAGGGTTGGGCCCAACAGCGTGATCATGCTGCCGGGTGGCAAAGGCCGGTCGGCTCAGATCTGGGCCTACTTTTCTCACTTTACCCCAAAGCGAATCCACCTTTTGACCATGTGGTGTCCATTTTTCAGTCCATGGCCTTAGAAGGTTACAGTAACCATTCTTATTTCTGGGTCCTTTTTCCAACTTAGTTTTGCATCTTTTAGTCAAGAGTCCGAGAAAACGCCTCTGAAGTGTTCGTTCCTTGGAGTTCCTTTGACACATAGAAGGAAACTTTGTGTTTCTTTATGTATTGACGCCCCTCTTTATGTATGTCGGTTGTTCTTTATCTATGTAGTTGCCAACAGCGCTGCCATGGAGCAAAGAAGGGGGATCGGGTGGGGGGGGTGGGGTGGGGGGGGCATTGGATAGCAAACGCTGCTGGCGCGCAAGATGATGAGTGCGCGCGCACATGCACACACACACAGGCATACAGGCACAAAGGCACACAGACACACGGACATGCAAACACACGCCCACACACCAACACTTGGACGCGCTACAAAGGGTGGCACTCGATGCCTCGATGCTGACTGGAAGTTGGTTGAACACGTTTCTCCCACGCCAGCTGAAACAAAAGTCTCGCCATGGTGTGTTTGGTAAGGTGAACCCCCGCTTGCGCCAAAGGTGCTATCAGCGGGTGTTCTGGAGGCCCATGAAGAGCGCCAAGCCGCATGTGCTTTTGCAGAGGTTAGCCGAAGCTTTTGCCAACCAAGACGCACTTACCGCCTTGAAATGTTGTGAAAATATAGTTTTTGCCGAAGCCACTTTTGCCAATTTTGCATGACGCCGGCAATTCCAGTGGGAGTTATGTCAATGCCAGCGAAACGCACCAGGCGCCCAGTGGCGTTGTTCCCATGTAGATATGTGAGCGACTCACTTTATTTACGTTAATGGAAACATGCAAGGGGCTGGAACTATTTTTTGGAAATGTGCATATTTAGCCGCAGAACAAGTTGGGGAACACCCCGAAAACGAGATAGGGCAAACAAGCATGATAACATGGATTAGGATGACATGTTGGCAAGTGTAGCCTGGCAGAGCGTCTTGGGTTCAAGGTTGTTAGATGTAGTGTAGAGTAGACGACCTACGTTCGCATGGCCCGTGGCAACTTACCACAGACTTTCCGGGGCAAGTGCCGCCAACCCTACGATGCCTAACTGCAAAAGGGTGTGACGAAGAAGCAGCGTAGCTGGTTTGTTCAAGATTTTCCCCTGGGCAATTTTCAGCCGTCCAAAAGCGGGCCATGTTAAAAAGAGTTCCAAAACGAGTTCAAAACGAGTTCAGAACGAGTCCCCTACAGCGTCCAAGTGAGTATTGGCCCAGTTCCTCCTCTCAAGTATTACTTTTCAACAGTTTGCTTAGCGAAAGGTTGTGCGGCAACAACGAAGGAGACAAAGGAGGCGGCAAGCTAACCAAAGCTCGTTTACTTCTTTAAGCTCCTCTTCTTCAAGCTCTACAGAAAGTTGAGCCAGATAAAACGGGCGCGGTGTTGGAAAACGAGATAGGGGGCTGCGACCGAGCGCGGGGTTGGAAAACGAGTCAGGAACACCCGTCCATTATGCCATGTAACAAATAAAAGCCGTTGCTCATGTGTTTGTTTGTTTTGTTTGGGTCGTTATTTATGTATTGATTATTTTGTCACTTAGTTCGTCCGTTCTTTCTTTCTTTCTTTCGGTATTTGTTATTTGTTTGTGGTTTCTTTCGTTCTTTCTTTCTGTCTTTATTTATCTATTTCCACGCTTGGTTCCTTGTGATCCCACGCTTGGCAAATGGTTCACGCACAAGAAATCTAAGATTTCACATTCTTGCCGGAACTTCGAAAGCCTGGTTTCGCCGGTTCGCCTTTTTGCTTGCGGCAAACGTTTGAATGACAACTATGAGCTTGTTCTGCCCGGGAAAGAACCTTTTGCAGATTGCATGATGTGTAGAAGGAGTGCCTTCTAGCTGGAATGCCAGCACAAGTGTCAATGGACACGGGCGATGCTGCCCAGATGAATGATTGTGGAATGCCACAATTTGCGAATTATTCTTGGCATATGTCCGTTTTGCTGGAAAAGTTGTTCACTTTTTTGCTTGATGGATTGATTGATTGATTGATTGATTGATTGATTGATTGATTGATTGATTGATTGATTTATTTGTTTATCGGTTCATTTTTTTTATTTTTTGATTGATTGATTTATTTCCTTCTTACTTAATCTATTTTGTTATTTATGTGTTTATTTCTTTGAGTAGTTACTATTGATGTATGTTGTTTTGTTATTGGGTTTACTTGTCGCTAGTGTATGTGTGTTTTTCATTACCTTGTTTGCATCATTTCAGATATTGCACTTGTAATCTATTTATGTGTAGGTTTAGTGCGTTGTTGTTTGTCTTACGTCTTTCTTTCTTCCGCAGTTTATTCCTTTGTGTGTTTATTGTGTCATTCATTGTTAACAATATGTCTTTCTTTCTGTGTTTCTTCATTTGTTTCTTTCTGTCTGTCTGTATGTCTGTCTGTCTCTGTCTCTGTCTCTGTCTGTGTCTGTGTCTCTGTCTGTCTGTCTATCTGTCTGGCCGGCCGGCTGGCTGGCTGTCTGTCGGTCTGTCTGTCCGTCAGTCCGTCCGTCCGTCCGTCTGTCTGACTGTTTGTCTTTCTGTCTGTCTGTCTGTCTGTTTGTCTTTCTGTCTGTCTGTCTGTCTGTCTGTCTGTCTGTCTGTCTGTCTGTCTGTCTGTCTGTCTGTCTGTCTGTCTGTCTGTCTGTCTGTCTGTGTGTCTGTGTGTCTGTCTGTCTGTGTGTCTGTCTGTGTGTCTGTCTGTGTGTCTGTGTGTCTGTGTGCCTGTGTGCCTGTTTGTTCGTCTGTCTGTGTTTCAGTCTCTCTGTCTTTCTGTCTCTCCGCCTTCCTGTCTTTCTTGCTTTCTTTCTGCCTTTGTTCTTCTCATGTGTTTCCGCATGTATTTCTTTACTTTGTTTTCTCTCTCTCTCTCCCCCTGTCTCTCTCTGTCTGTCTGTTTTTCTGCATTGCTTTCTTGAGTTTGTTCCTCTCTCCCTCTCTGTGTTGTCTGTTTTTCTTTCTCTTTTTTTGTTTTTCGTTTTATGTACTGATTGTATTTATTCCTCTCGGGCATTGCTCTCTACTTTCCGTTGCTTCTGCTCCGTTCCTTTCCTTCCCTCCTTCTCGCCTTGCTGCCCGCCTCCCTTTCTTCCTTCCATCCATCCATTACATTTCTTTCAGGTAACCCTTAGTTGGTGGTTTGGAGCCCGGTGGTTTGGACTTGGATTTGAAATTTCAGCGGGTCCCCGGGGATGGGGAACCACCCCACCACCAAACCACCGGGCTCCAGACCACCAATCAACGAGGGAAGCTGATTGTTGTGCTTGTCTTCAAGGTCCTTGGCCTTCTCCTCTTCTCGCTCGGCAAAGGTGGCTTTCGATCCCTCGATCCTTCAATGCCTTCAGGCCACTCGAGGCACAAGCGCCTACGGGGCAAGCTCCTGGCCAGCCTCGGGCCCAACTATGTGCTCAGCATCCTTCCGGACCCTCGGGCGAGTTTTTCTCTCGCCCGGCTCGAAAAATCGGGGCCCTCAGATATCGTTTGGATGGGTTGGGATTGGTTGGGACTTGGATTTGAACCCCTGGCTCTTGTAAAGGGCAAAAAGGAAACCAGCCAAGAAGGCCACCATTCGGCTCCAAAGCACCGATCTATGAAGCCGAGGTCCTGGGCTTTCGGAAGAAGCCTAAGGTTGTCAGATGAATACACCGGGGGTAGACCGCTTGAGGGAACACCAAACAGACCAGGACGCGGACCGTGCCAATGGATGGGCAGTTCGCCTTTCAGAAAATCAAGTATAATTCTGCGTTCTTTAAGAAGTCGGGTTTTCCAGATTCATCTGAAGTCAACATTGACCTAGAACCTGCAAAAACCCGGAATGGATTTTGAGTTTCCTTTCGGTGTTTCAAAACAAAACCACCAATCAAGATCCCGAGCCTCGAAAAAGACAACCAGCTTTAGAGAAATCTCCTTCTAGGAAATGGACCCCTTATTGGGTTCCATGTCAATTTGTAGGAGAGCAGTATCCACCTGTCTTTGGCCGGGACATGGATGGCCATTGGTTATGAATGTTTGTGGTTGGAACCACTTCAGATGGCCGCTGGCCGCCAGAATTAGAACTTGTAACTAGTAGGTCACTGGGTTGAGATCATTAGGGGTGCTCGCACGATGCTCCTTTTTCCTTAAGGAATGCCACAAGGGAAACCTCCCCTAAAAATTATTCTTAAGTCGGGACTCGGAGGACTTCCGAAGGATGTCTGCCAAAGGGTCTGGAATCCATTCAGAGATCATACACATTTTTACAACAAACCAGGGGGCGTCCTACGTTTCCCATTTTACAGGAACCCCGTCCATGTGACGGGCGTGGACCTAGGATCTAGCACGTCAAGCCGGTCCCCGTTTTCATCTGTAAAGCGGGTTCGGAAGCGCGTTCTCCTTTTTTTGCTTCTGCACTTCACTTGTAGTATTCGTTTAATGTCCTACAGGAGTGGATGGCATCCGCTAGAATGGGTGAGAGGCTATGATGCATCCCACACATCTTGGCACTGTCGGTGCGCGAAGCTCGATCCATCTTGTGGTCGGCTGAAGAGAGTTGCGCTTGGCCCTGGCGACTTGCCACTCATGGATCCGAAGTAGAGGTCAGATCGGGAGGGTCTAGATTGGGAGGGTTTTTAAGACACCCCCAGAAATGTCTTTTGTGTATGTTTAAGTTGTTTTTTGCCAAATAATTCATATATTTGCAGATTTACTTAAATCATATGTATTTCCTGCAAATGTATGGTTTGAGCACAGTGTAGCTTCTTGATCTATGCCGGCACTGACAGGCACAATGTGAGTGAGATGCTGATTGATTGAGTGAGCAACTCATGACACATGGTGAATCTAAAGGCTGTGGAAGGTCATGTCAAGTGCACAGAAAGCATGTCAGTGTAGAAACAATCAATTTGGCATGTCTCACAACACTACTTTAAAGGCAGGTAAGAGGCAGGGGCAACTTGGTTAGCCCCGAAAAGCTACCTCAAAAAATCTCAATAATATCAAAACTGCGTTTGTGGATTTTGTTAATTTCAAAATATCGCTTGTTATCTCAAAAAATCTCGGGACTAATATAATACAATAGTACTTCAAAGGCAGTGCCAATGTTGGTAACCCCGAAAATCTATTTCAAAAAATCTCGCAAAATCTCGAACGTTCTCATTTTGCTCAAGTAAAACGAGTGTCCCGTATCTCCTGGACTTTTGGTCAGGAAGCAGCAACACTACAGAAAAGTAAGTCCGATTCGCGAAGTCAAACCTATTTGTTAAGTCAGACTGGGGTCAGCTGGTGTTGAAACGTTGGGACAATCTGGAGCAACACAAGAGGCGGAGACGAATAGCTATATATATATATACATATTGAGTGACGCTCGAATCGTGCTGGAAAGTGAGCTGGGACCGATATCTGGCAAAATGACAAGCAGTCAGCGGAATAGTGCTAGGCCAACCTGGAGTACAGCACCAATTGGCGGAATATAGCTTTAAAAGATGATGATTCAACTAAAGGACGCTAGACACTTACTGTATGAAAATAATGGTTGACTTGAAAAATAATGCTATCAATTTTTCTTAGGCAAATGACAATCTATTGCATAAATATGTTGTCAATGAGTTTGGAAACCCTCCTGATCTAAACCCTACTGATCTGAGCCTGGACTTTCGGTCAATGATCCACAGGCTTGCCTTTTCTTCATTGCGAAAGCTTTGCACATCTTTGGTGTGGTAGGTGTTTGATTGGCATGCATGTTTGGGGGAGTTGTTTGGTGCATGTTCTTTTCTGCACGCTGCGCAATGGGCGGGGACACAGGAGGTGATACGCCCCTTTTTCCTGCTCCTCCCTTCTTCATCCCAAATTTCCTCCCCAATATGCCATCCAATTCTGCGGTCTGCGCAGTTCGCTTGGAGAGGAGATAAAGGGGTTGATTCACAAGACCTTGGATGACATGGTGGAGCAAACGAAGAACCGAGGCGCATGAGGGTTGGGGAAAAATGGACAGACTAGTTGTCTCGCTTTTCGGGCCTTCAACATCTATCTCATTTTGTTTAGCTTGTCCAAAAGGAAACCCAAGTGTGTATTGTGTTTCCGGACCGCTTTGGTTCTTCATCTGGCTTTTGAGCTCTTGGAAATTTGTGAGTTCCGCACATGGCCGTGGACATTTGTCCGTTTCGGGGGTCCCTTTTGGCAACGTATAGACCATGTTCTCATGTACTGCCCTTGGTGTACCCGTATCAGAAACCAGGTTGTCGACAAGCTGAGGCAAGGCGGTGGTGCTTATGTGCCAGGTATAAGAGTGTGTGTGTGTGTGTGTGCGTGTGTGTGCGTGTGTGTGCGTGTGTGTGCGTGTGTGTGCGTGTGTGCGCGTGTGTGCGTGTGTGTGCGTGTGTGCGTGTGTGCGCGTGTGCGTGCGCGTGCGCGTGCGTGCGCGTGCGTGCGTGCGCGTGCGCGTGCGCGTGCGCGTGCGCGTGCGCGTGCGTGCGTGCGTGTACGTGCGTGCGTGCGTGCGTGCGTGCGTGCGTGCGTGCGTGCGTGCGTGCGTGCGTGCGTGCGTGCGTGCGTGCGTGCGTGCGTGCGTTCGTGGGTGTGTGTGTGTGTGTGCGTGTGTGTGTCTCTGTGTGTGTGTCTCTGTGTGTGTATGTGTCTGTATCTGTGTCTGTGTCTGTGTCTGTGTCTCTGTGTGTGTGTGTGTCTGTGTCTGTGTCTGTGTCTGTGTCTGTGTCTGTGTCTGTGTCTGTGTCTGTGTGTCTTTGTCTGTGTGTCTTTGTGTGTGTGTGTGGGTCTGTTTGTGTCTGTGTGTGTGTGTGTGTGTCTGTGTGTGTGTGTGTCTGTGCGTGTCTGTGTCTGCGTCTGCGTCTGTGTCTGTGTCTGTGTCTGTGTCTGTGTCTGTGTCTGTGTCTGTCTGTCTGTGTGTCTGTGTGATATCACCGGGGACGCCTGGTGACGTACCTGCACAACATCGTTCTATCAACAGAGCCGTTTTGTGTTGTGTTTGCGCTGTTGCTTCACAAAGACCAGTGACTCCAGTTTTGATGTGTTGGCTGTTGGTTTTACATTCTGAAGCCAACTCGAAATGATGTAGTCAAACCTGTCTCTCCTCTCCTCTCTTGCTTGACGTGCACGAATGTACCACAGACGTGCACGAATGTACCACACCACCCCTTGGGGTATTCAAGTGTGTGTCTGTGTATGTGTGTGTGTGTGTTTGTGTGTGTTTGTGTGTACCGTCCGACTCTGTCCGTTGCGTTGGATGAAAAAGATGGAGTTTTTAAAGCTCCGGATGTGAAAGCGCGCGGGGACCTAGCAAGGCAACTTTCGACTCACCCCCATTGTACTTGGGGAAAACTTAATGCTCCTGTCAAGTCATGCATGAAGCACAGGGATGGTGAGCTTTCTTCTCACTCAAGTATCCCTTGTTCATACTGCTTGGCTTCCCTAGTTATCCCCCTTAACATCAGCAAGCCTTTGAGGGTCATGTATCTGCGGGGGTATGTAAAAGGGGTATGCACAAACACCCCTTGAGTGCAGGGACCGCTGGTTTTAGTCCATGTTTCCATTTACCAGGCTCCATTTTGCTTGTTTTCTAAGAACCTTTTGTTCCGGGGTTTGGGGGCGCCATGACTGAAGGCTGACCTTTTGGACTTTGGCTTTCCAAAGATCCTACCTGGACCAGAGCCCAGAAACTGCATGCCCACCCTCATTCACCCTTTTCCTCTTATCCAGTTTGCGCGTGGGGTATGGCCTGGTGAGCTTTCGAGTGCCTGCAGAGGAACATGGCCCCCCAACAAATGCTTCTTATTTTTGGATCTATTTCCTACGGGGGGCCCTTTTGCAAGTTCTAATTCCCGGTGAGATAGCCCACAAAAGCCATGGTCCATGGTGATATAAGTTTCTGTGCAGTGGGTGACAACCAGGCTTCCTAACCACTTAACCCACAAAAGCCAAGTCTCCGTGCAGTGGGTGACAACCAGGCTTTCTAACCACTTAATCTCCTTCCATTTGCTTCAGTTTTTATTTGCCCCCTGATTTTGAAGGGAATCGATTTCACTACCGGACACATGTTTTCTCATTCTTTCCCGGGGGGGGGGGGGGGCGAACAAGCCAAATGGAAGTTTTCCAGGCCATGCCCCAAGTGGAGGAAAGGGATGTAGACAAGTACTGCAGTTCTGGGCTCGAAAGTTCACTAGGGGAAGGCTTCCCACCCCCCCAAGCCGTGTGGTGACATTTTTTCTCGGAGGCTTCGGGGTCTTCGAGGCGGCCGCGGGGCTGCTGGCCTTCCAAAGCTCAGTGCTGCCGGTGCTGGCGGGCTTGCCCGCGGCCAAGCAGCGATGCGTGCAGGACGCCGGGTGGATGCGGGGAAAGAAACTAGGTTGTGGTTTTGAAGGTTTTTTGCAAGCACACGTCTAGATTATTCCCCACATCTTTGTGTGGGGTTCTTACTTTTACCGCTCCGCGCCCGCCGCCCGCCGTCCGCCGTCCGGCCCCGCCGTCCGCCGCCCGCCCCGCCGCCCCCGCCGCCCACTCACTCACACTCACTGTCTCACACTCACTCACACACACTCACTCACACACACTCACTCACACACACTCACTCACTCACACTCACTCACACTCACTCACTCACTCACTCACCCGCACAAAGTCACTCACTCACACACACTCACTCACACACACTGACTCACACACACTCAGTCACACACACTCACTCACTCACACACACTCACTCACACACACACTCACTCACACACACTCACTCACACACACTCACTCACTCACTCACACTCACTCACACTCACTCACTCACTCACAGGGGCAGCATTTGGGAGCTGTTTAAAGGGCTGGGGTGTTGTCGCGCGCGCGGCTCGGGGCTCGCGAAATCGTGGCAGGCGCAGCACTTTGGAGATGCCATTGCCGAAGTCGTGGCAGGCGCAGCATTCTGTGCATCTGTCGCAAAATCGTGGCAGGCGCAGCACTTTGGAGATGCCATTGCCGAAGTCGTGGCAGGCGCAGCATTCTGTGCATCTGAGTGTGTGTTTGCGTGGCAGGGGCAGCATTTGGCAGCTGTCTAAAGGGCTGGGATGTTGTCGCGCGCGCGGCTCGGGGCTCGCGAAATCGTGGCAGGCGCAGCACTTTGGAGATGCCATTGCCGAAGTCGTGGCAGGCGCAGCATTCTGTGCATCTGAGTGTGTGTTTGCGTGGTGGCTGTCTCTGGGAGTGCTGCTCGCATTCTGCCATTTGAAGTCATGTGGCAGTTTGCGTGGCAGCATTTGGCAGCTGTCTAAAGGGCTGGGATGTTGTCGCGCGGCTCTCGCGATCGTGGCAGGCGCAGCACTTTGGAGTTTGCCGAAGTCGCAGCATTCTGTGCATCTGGTGTGTGTTTGCGTGGCAGGGGCAGCATTTGGGCAGGGCTGGGATGTTGTTGCGCGGCTGTCTAAGTCGCGTGCGCGGCTCGGGGCTCGCGAAATCGGCAGGCGCAGCACTTTGCGGATGCCGTTGCCGAAGTCGTGGCAGGCGCAGCATTCTGTGCATCTGGGTGTGTGTTTGTGTGGCAGGGGCGCATTGGCAGCTGTCTAAAGGGCTGGGATGTTGTCGTGGCTCGCGAAATCGTGGCAGGCGCAGCACTTTGGAGATGCCATTGCCGAGCGCGGCTCGGGGCTCGCGAAATCGTGGCAGGCGCAGCACTTTGGAGATGCCGTTGCCGAAGTCGTGGCAGGCGCAGCATTCTGTGCATCTGAGTGTGTGTTTGCGTGGCAGGGGCAGCATTTGGCAGCTGTCTAAAGGGCTGGGATGTTGTCGCGCGCGCGGCTCGGGGCTCGCGAAATCGTGGCAGGCGCAGCACTTTGGAGATGCCATTGCCGAAGTCGTGGCAGGCGCAGCATTCTGTGCATCTGAGCGTGTGTTTGCGTGGCAGGGGCAGCATTTGGCAGCTGTCTAAACGGCTGGGATTTGTCGCGCGCGCGGCTCGGGGCTCGCAAAATCGTGGCAGGCGCAGCACTTTGGAGATGCCATTGCCGAAGTCGTGGCAGGCGCAGCATTCTGTGCATTTGAGTGTGTGTTTGCGTGGCAGGGGCAGCATTTGGCAGCTGTCTAAAGGGCTGGGATGTTGTCGCGCGCGCGGCTCGGGGCTCGCGAAATCGTGGCAGGCGCAGCACTTTGGAGATGCCATTGCCGAAGTCGTGGCAGGCGCAGTATTCTGTGCATCTGAGTGTGTGTTTGCGTGGCAGGGGCAGCATTTGGCAGCTGTCTAAAGGGCTGGGATGTTGTCGCGCGCGCGGCTCGGGGCTCGCGAAATCGTGGCAGGCGCAGCACTTTGGAGATGCCATTGCCGAAGTCGTGGCAGGCGCAGCATTCTGTGCATCTGAGTGTGTGTTTGCGTGGCAGGGGCAGCATTTGGCAGCTGTCTAAAGGGCTGGGATGTTGTCGCGCGCGCGGCTCGGGGCTCGCGAAATCGTGGCAGGCGCAGCACTTTGGAGATGCCATTGCCGAAGTCGTGGCAGGCGCAGCATTCTGTGCATCTGAGTGTGTGTTTGCGTGGCAGGGGCAGCATTTGGCAGCTGTCTAAAGGGCTGGGATGTTGTCGCGCGCGCGGCTCGGGGCTCGCGAAATCGTGGCAGGCGCAGCACTTTGGAGATGCCATTGCCGAAGTCGTGGCAGGCGCAGCATTCTGTGCATCTGAGTGTGTGTTTGCGTGGCAGGGGCAGCATTTGGCAGCTGTCTAAAGGGCTGGGATGTTGTCGCGCGCGCGGCTCGGGGCTCGCGAAATCGTGGCAGGCGCAGCACTTTGGAGATGCCATTGCCGAAGTCGTGACAGGCGCAGTATTCTGTGCATCTGAGTGTGGGTTTGCTTGGCAGGGGCAGCGTTTGGCAGCTGTCTAAATGGCAGCATTTGCAGCCGTGCCAGAACACATCATGGAGCCGCACTTCAGGACACCCCAATCGAAAGATTCGGACGCGTGGATGATTTGGAAGTTGCTTGCATCTGCGGTCGCGGGAGCGACCTATATACGCTTGTAGAACCCTTTAATTTATTACATGCACATCAATCATGTGTTTTGATGAGGGGCTTCTCGAGAATGCTTGGTGGACACGCCTAAATGAACCAGCCGCCCATGAGACTTCACACCAATATTTAAAGATACACGTACATAGAAGCGCAATCTGAGAAGATGGTGTTTGGTGCTATCCGGGGCCAGGCTTTTACAGACGCCGACGGTCACGACATGAGATTCTCCGCTTGCTGGGGGAGAAGCTGCCCCGCCATTCCTTGATGTCTTGCAACGTTCCGACTGTCCAGCCGGCTTAACGCAGGCAGCAAGTCACGGCGTCACATGTAGCGTGGTCAAAGCAAGCAACTCGGCTTGATCTACTCAGGATGGTCATGGACCCAGGGTTTTAGGCAATGCGCAAGTTCCAGAGGAGTTTTGACTTGGACGCCACTGAGTCCAACCGGAACTGGTCTTATTCAAAACGTGAGAACAGACTTGAACAGCTTTTTGCTGTTGGAGCCATACGCCAAAACCTAGACAGTCATCTTCGGAAGCTCGACATCACATTAAGCGGGGAATCCGGATTAATCAACCCGGTTGATCTTGATTCGGGGCTGTCCCCATGTAGTAGGGCTTCAGACCACTTTTGGAGGGAACGCCCCGCAATTTACTTGCTGGGTCTTTTTTCTCCGAGGTCAACGTTTGCAGCAAAAGCCCAGCTGGATGATCGCAACTTGCAGCTCAAAACCACTTTCTGAACGCATCACCCTGCACGGGAAGGTCCAATTGGGCTCATGCGGCCTTGTTTTGCCAGTGAACGGCGTATGAAGCAACAGTATGTTCTTGTTCTGAAGTGTCAAAAAGACAGACATGGCGCACTGTTGAGTCTTATCAAGTGGCAGGAACGGTGACAACATGTAGGCAGGCAGCCCAGCTCGAGAAAAGAGTCGTTGGCAGCATTGCTGGTCAGAGTTGTTTTGTGATGTCAGCCAGCAGACCAGAAACCGCGCTCAACCGCGTGCACTTATTTGCTTTAATGCTGCATAGCACGCCTGCTCAACTGCTTCGCCCTGGCACTGCGCGCACGCCTGACCATGGTAAGCATACCCGCTCGATCTGACCAGGGTAAGCATGCCGCATAGCACTTTGCGCACACCTGACCATGGTTAGAACACTGCGCGCGCGCGCCTGACCAGGGTAAGCGCACCCGCTCGACTGCTTCGTTAGCACACTGCGCGCGCGCCTGCCTGGGGTAAGCGCCCCCGCTCCCGTCTAACACTGCGCGCGCGCTGAAACACTTAATCGCATGAAGGGAGAGTTTGTCAAGGATGTGTTTTCCGGATCCGAAAAGGTTGTCTGCCATACTGGCACGATAGACTCTAAGCACATGTCCCGAATTCGCTGCCTTCATGCAGCCCACATGTCCTTTCGTATGTTAAGTCTTTGCAGTGGCGCTATATCTTGCGCCAGCGAGATGTGGAGCAGCAGGCTCTCGATGTGATCGCACGGATGTTAAAGAGGAGAAGGCAGGGAATGGGCGATACAATTTGCCTTTCGTGTCAGCGAAGCGCAAAAGGCTCTAAAACTGGGCCCTCTGTTTTGGAGGTTTTTTGGGGACTCAATGAGCATTTCGCTGAGGTGAAAACGCAAGTTTTTTCGGAAAAGCAGCAAAGCGCCAGCGCGGAGTTTGGTCCGCCGGGATATTTTTGTTGAGGGTATCGTATGGGTAAATTTAAGGGAAGTGAAAGGGGAGATGAAGCCCATTGTCATGTTACTTGGGGTCCAACATCGTCCAACTCCCGAATTTCACACACCGCGTGCGTGGATGCCATGAGGACTTGCTGGATGAAATCCTCGGCGGCATGTGCCGCGGCTGGCGACCAATTAGTTTGATGTTCACTACAATAGTATGTATATACAGATGTAGGGGCTCACGCACATCTAACAGTAAATGCATATGGTGACAGCATTTGTGTCTGTATTTTTTGCCGTGCCCATTCTTTAGTCTACGCGGGAAGTGGGACCTGGGCGAGCCATAATACCCCCGCATCATACCCCAACCGTACCCCTACCCATACCCTGATTCATACCCCCGAAAAAATCCAGAAAGCCTTGGGTAAGGGTACGCAAGTAGGGCCTGTCCTGCGGGTAACGCAATAAACTGTCTGTCCCCAAGCAGTGTTCTACTCTAACTGGCATTTCGGGTAAGAGCTACAGGTTAGCTCACAGCTCGTCACGCGCCAGCTGACAGTTTGTATGAGCCGGCTTATTGCGACACTCGCATAATTGAATTTCAAAAGCGCGCAGGCTCGCACGAGCTGCTTGGCTGTTTCGGCTGTTTATCCCAGGTGCGCTTTGCTGCTGCGTCAAGGGGTCGACTTGCGCGCTCGGTTTTGGTATGCCGCTCCAGCGCGGGTCGAAAAATTGACCAAGAAGGCTTGAAAACTCTGTGACGGACGTCTCGCCCTTCCTGCTCCGTGGCTGAGAGTTTGACCACTGACCAAACGTTTGCCGACTTTGCGCGGGTCGACACGCCCTGCTTCATAGCTCCACATGGCGCGAAGGGCCTGTTCCAAGTGCAAGGGCGCTGCCGCTTGCAGCTGCCCCCCCACGATTGCAAGCTTTCTTAGCCATGCTCGCTTTGTGTTTTCCGTTAGCACAAATCTGCTCCGCAATTGATTCATACCCCCGATTCACACCCCGAGTCATACCCTTTCGCAGCCATCTGCAACCAAGGGCCTCTTGCGCTCTGCACAGCAATAGTGAAGCTGCAGGGACCAGATCCTCAGAAGCTAGCCAAACAAAGGGGAGGACTGCAGAACGACGCAGCCCGTTACGGAGAGAGGATAGCCGGATCAAGCTCGGTCCGCAGCGCCCTGAAGGAAGAGTTCGAACCCTTGTAAGCTCCTTCCTGCGAGAGTGAGTTGTCTCGCTCTGCTTGTGAAGTCGAGGAGCGTTGCAAAGAGCGGCCTGTCCTCTTCAAGGGCATTCGACAGAACATCCTTAAACTTGATACATGGCAAGGTGTGAAACGTGTTGCGCTGCCAATGAGGCGCCTTAGCGGAACCGACTGCCTGATCTTGTTCATTGCCTTGCATGCGCGGCGCCCATGCACATAGCTGTGGACAAATATCTGAGGTGCGCTGCCATACGCCGAACGCAAGTTACAAGATACCGACACCAAAATGAGGGCCCATTTGGGAATAGGAGCATTTCAGGAACACAGGGGCAAAGGAAAAAGGGCCTGCAAATGCAATCTTGCACGGTACGCATGGTATCCACTTATTTAGACATATCCTTATATATATATATATATGGGATCCCCCCCCCAAAAAAAGCTAGGGTTCCTGCTTTGGTAGACCTAAAACAATGGCAACATGACCCCTGGAAATGCGCACGCTTGCCTACTTATGACAGGTGAAACGTGACAGAATGTTATGTGGAGTTTTTGGCACTTTTCATGGCCCGTTTTACTTCTGGGCGTTTACCCCGTTTACATTTCCCCAAGAAAGCTACAAAAGTACAAAGTAAAACGTTTGGACTTCCGACCCGTTCTAACTTCAGGGAGTCTTACACATGTTTCCTTTCCCCCAGTAAAAGTTGAAAGGTTAAACTCGTAAAAGTAAACACTGTTTAACTTCGGGTAGTTTTACTGTTGCTTCAATGGGTCTAAACGTTTTACGTTTTACTCGTTTACTTTTACTTGGGGCAGGTAAACGGGTAAACCGTCCAGGGTTTCCTTTTGCTGGGCAGAAGTAACAAAAAGGAAAAAGTAAGACTGCTGGACTCGTGGAACATAAAAAGCTAAAAAGCTAAACGCATGAGGAAAAACCGCATTGCGCTTTAGAGTTTTACGGTTTGCTTTTACTGGGAAGAGTAAAGAAGTAAAACTGCCTGAAGAGAACACTTCTTGCACTTTTACTTTTCGCTGTTTCCCCTTGGTTGAAGTAAAGCCAGGTTCACTTTTTAGACTCCCACGTGCTTTTCATGAGTGGGAAGCCACTTATGCGACAATACAATATCATTGCATTTCTCCAAGTCTTACTCCACCTTCTTGAGATCTACCTTCTGTTGCTTTTCTCGTTAAAAAAATTGAATCGGTCCAGTTGGACGCATATGTACTTCTTGGTCTCACATTGCCTGACATTGCATCAATACTACCGTACAGAACTCTATTTACCTGTACCCTTCTCTTTCAGATTCTTGAACAGTTCATCGCAAGTGTTTATACCTGGACAGAACATCTCAGCAAGCGCACGTCCTACCACTGCTTACTACGACATCACGTGAAATTCTAGTCTATTCTTCATATACACAGTTGCAAGGGTTTAGTACTGCCCCTAGTACTCCTGTTGTTGCACATCTATTAGAAACATATCCCCTACAGGCGCTATTTCCATGATATTCTTACTTCGTGCTATTGTAGGTAGTTTAGGACTTATAGTAGTCAGCTGTCAAGGCATTGTTTGTCTTAGCTTCTGTTTCCACCTGTGCTTGCAACAAACCTTAAACACACTCTGGTTGAGGGCCCATATGCTCCAAGAACATGACAGACTCTTCTCCGGAGTTCCACACTGGCGCCAATCCATCTGAAGACTGGTATAGCCGGTCTGTGGAGGGGCATGGGGCATTGTTTCTTTGAACGCGTGCTCATGTGTGTATATGTATGCTTGTCTTATGAAATCTCCGGCCGCTTCAATAGGCCAACAAGGACTTTAAATTTCCCCCACAACATCCAATTTGAATGTTTCACTTCTTTAAAAAATTGCCTGCGGCCCGCCTCGCCTTACACATCCCTGATAGATGCAACACGCCCGCCAAGCAGCTGCGACAGACCACGCTCCGCTGGAGCCGTTGGGACCCTCATCGGATTTTTACGCAGGAAGGGGGCTCAGCGCGCAGCAGGCAAAGCATTGTACTTCACTCGCTCGGGCCCGAGCTGTCAGACTTCAGCAAGTAGACACTCGCCAACTAAAAGATTGCGTGTGCGCTCTTTGCTTTTGCGCGTGGGTTTTCGCTTCGCAGTTCCTCCTCGCGGGCCCCAGAGCTTGCTTAGCTGACAAGAGTAATTTGCTTGCTTTGGCACGCCCGCCAATGGCAATGCAACACCGGGGCTTTTGTTCAGTCGGAATGCCCGTGTGGAGGAGGATGCTCCGTTCATCGTTGTACCTTCATGCCTTTCTTTGTGTGACACCCAGCGGGGGGTCCGCAAAGACTCCTCTTCAATTAATTTCTTATTTGGTTCAAGGGAGGGAGCAAGAGTCAAATGCTTTGCAGGCTGCGACAATTGTGCTTAACCTTTCAGCTGTGATTAATTGTGAGGAACTATCTGGGTGCAAAATCGCCCATGCGTGGGTACTAAGCCCAGGGACACTCACTTACAGCGGCAGGGTAGTGAGTAAGCCTGCTTATAACCCACTGAACGGAGACTTGTAACCATGGGTTTTGTGGGTTATAGCCATGGTTATTACCCACTTACTTGACGTACAAAGCCCCTTTAGGTAAGGTCACCATTACCTGGCACCAAGTTCAACTTGTTGCAGGTTTGCCGTGCCTCTGAACCTGGGCCGGTTCAGTGCTCATGGCCGCGCTGTGCTTGCGCGGAAGAAGATGTGCAGCTCGGGTGAGGTGAGCAGGTGAGCAGTCAGAGGTCTACACATTGTGTGATAAAGAGGGAGGAAAAACAAACACGAGCAATCGTAGTAATAATTAAAACAATAGTAACAACCAACCAGATTACATTCATTTGATGGTAATTTGATTTCCAGTTTATTAGCAAATATTAATGGATTGTTACATCGGATTGTTGGTCTTCTTGTCCAAAGCGAGTCGACCCTCAGACCCTTTGGTTCCCCAGTTTGTCAACCGCTTCTTGTCATAGCCTAACGTGACCACCATTTATTTCCAGGTCCGGCAAGGGTCTAGAAAAAGATGACCTTCCACGCTTGTGGCAGGGTCTTCGGAAACTCTCCTAAACGCTCATTCAGAAACCCGTTTTCGATTGTCTTCTCCAAAGGACGACTCCTGGGTTTTTGTCTACCTCAGGCTCAAAAGATGGCCCAACCAACTCAAAAGGTTTGCTTCTCACCTTAGGCATTGGGCAAGTAAGATAGGAGGATATCAATGATCGGGTCATGGGAAAGTCGCCAGGAACCCTTGAGCTACTCACATCTTCCAGTCTTTGAACTTGAGGCTTTGGAAAGTCCTGTGTAAGGAGCGTGCTATCAGACAAGGCAGGACGTTAGCGGGCCAACGGCTGGAGCAAGAGGTGTTGCAAGGAGAGTTTGCCCTTTTGGTTGACATACCCATTGACAGAGACATTGTCATCCTCGGTGCGTTTGTTTGTGAAATGAGGCGATATGACCGCTGAGATCATGGCGTCGCCCAACCTTAGCCAGCAGCCGCCTGTCGGCCTGTCGGCCTGTCGGCCGGTTGGCGCTCTGCTGGCTTTGCAATGGGCAAACGGGGAACCAGTCCTAACCTCACCCTCCTAAACTACCCGATGGTTGGGATTTAGTTTTACCTTCAACATATGGCCTTTGAGAATGCATTTGCCTAGCCAGCCAACACTTTGGCTCTTTGGGCGTGAAAAACCAACCACCCGAAGTTCACCTTCGCTACGTTGTGCCCCTGGTGCAAAGCAATCTGCTGCTGGCAATCCTGGATGGCTCTTTCGCCGGTTTTGTTGTTTGGTGACCTATTCTTGTTTGGTAGGCCCCAGAAAGGTGAGCTGAGGGCTGATGGACGTCTATAGACAGAAGAAATAGAAATGCGGAGAACGGAGCATCTGTTCAGCCCCTGCTTTGCAGAGGAGTTGCAACGCAGACTCAGTTTTCCAAGGCGAATCAACCTTTTCACGAAAGCTAGCTTTAGCTAGCTGAAGTTTCTCCTTGCGTAAGCAAGGTAAGGGGCTCAACTGCCGAAAGATTGATTTTTTCAATTATTTGAGCCGAAAAGATTGAAAAAAACAATTATTTAGCCCCCCCCCCCCCCTCCCCCCCCCCCGTCTCAGGCTCGATTCCTCCTTGGTCCACCCCTCCCCCCGGGCAGTGGCTCAGTGTTTCAGCAGTCTCGGTTTGCCCGTTTTGGACTTGGTGCTACGAACTTTTACATGTTCCACCGATTCAGCTTGTTCATTTGAGACCTCAGTCTTCTCAGTAAACCACCTCGCAAGAATCTTTGCACACGCAGCATGCAGAACCCAGAGGTGCTTTAAGACAGCTTCTGACGCCTCTCGTTGTTTTCATTTTTCAAGGTTTGCCACGCCACCATGTGCGTTTGCGTGTCGCATCCTACGAATCTTGCCGGGCCTCTCGTTGTACACAAGCTACCTATGAATCCACTCTGTCACCGACCCATCTCATGCAACAACTGCTAGCTTTCGTTCACCCGCTCCTCAAGTCACCTTTTGTCCCTTGATTTGGCTCATATTTTGTTTCAAAGCACCAAAAGGTGTGATCACCTTGTATTTCCAGGTCCCACCGCAGCAGGACCATCCTCGAGAGGGTCCCAGTCATTGCCGGGCTGCAGCCTTTGGTGGTGCCTTCTTTGGAGTTGGTACCCCTTTTTGGTTTGGATGAAAAGGGAAAGCCAGAGGTTTGGGGGTCCCAGGTTCGGTCGGTCAAAGCAGCAGTTTCTGGGGCAAATTCCATGCGCCTCCATTTTCCATATCCTTCACCGGAGCCGCGTATTCTGAGCGCTCAGATGAAGAGGAAGGACCCAATTTGCCAATTGGGCATCCTGCTTTCACCATTGCTGCTTGGAACTTGGGAACTCCAACCATGCTGTGGATGGACGAAATCCTGCACCACCTCAGAGACCCTGCAAGGATGATTGCCCCGATGCCAACGAATAATGGTTTCCCATGGTTTGCAAGTGGCGCGAAATGGTTTTCGTCCGTCCACAGTATTTCCCAGCTGCGCCTTCCCATCCAAGCGAGATAATTTGGAGAAGGCCTCGCCAATGTCCTGGGCATAAGTCATCCACGCCATCAGTTCTCACCGGAATATTAGCCTTCCCAACATTGCAAATGAGCAAGCCAGAACATTATTGCACAACAAAGTCATGTCAATATTGGCACGATCTTGGGGCAGCCATTCTGGAAGGCATGGTGAGTCCTTGGGAGACGTCGGCCTCAGGAATATCATCGCGGACCTCATGCAGGAGACAGTGGACGGGAAGGCGAGGTTTTGCTCCCCCATAGGCACGCGAAGCAAAGATGCTGGACGTCTGTCGATGGGCACCATGCTGTTGCGACAAGCAGGCTGTGACAAGCACGTACACGCAAGCAAGCAAGCAAGCAAGCAAGCAAGCCAAGCAAGCAAGCAAGCAAGCAAGCAAGCAAGCCCAGCAAGCCAGCAAGCCAGCAAGCCAGCAAGCCAGCAAGCCAGCAAGCCAGCAAGCCAGCAAGCCAGCAAGCCAGCAAGCCAGCAAGCAAGCAAGCAAGCAAGCAAGCAAGCAAGCAAGCAAGCAAGCAAGCAAGCAAGCAAGCAAGCAAGCAAGCAAGCAAGCAAGCAAGCAAGCAAGCAAGCAAGCAAGCAAGCAGTCAATTGCTGGCGAGCGATGGCAAGAAAGCAAATACAGACAGCACCGCTTTGTTTTCTCACCTTGTTTGTTTGTTTGTTTGCCGCATCACCCATTCACAAGCACCACACAACTGAGATTCTGGGGAGCCACAAATGGTCGCACCCGTGTTTAGGAGTTTTCTATGAGTAGTTTTGGGCAGCTAGCATGGGCAGTAACCTGTCAGGGCTTTTCCAAGGAGGAGGTTTTGGACACGGTCCTGACCCTGCTGTTGGCGGGCAAGCTTACCACAGCTGATGCACCACGGCTCAACCGATGCGGACGAGTCCCCGCATCCCGCAATTTATGTGCGCGGTGGACATGGTTTCATATCCATAGGTGTGCTTTTTGGTTGGTTTGTTTAAAGAATAGAGGCCCTGGTTTAGATGGGGTTTATGCCCCATTTACCAGGGCCATCTAGTTTTCCAACAGGCCACCTATGCTCATATCCATAAGCAGGCTGACATGGTAGTTCGAGCGGCTTTGACATTTTGTTCCGCATCCGTCAGCTAGCCTTTGGGGCCGCCGGCCTTTCCCTTTGATCCCTGTGACTTGCCTCGACTGGGGAATCCACCCCTAAGGATCCACACCTAACTCAGTCCCTGAGTTTCGTTTTCGAGTTTAAAGTTTAGTCACTTGTTGCGTTTAGACCATAGTGGGAAACAACAAGTCTGGTTAAATCCACTGAATCAGAAGTAACTTTTCCATGATCCGGGCAAGTGGGCAGTGTCTCCAGTCATCCTTTTAGGTGTGGTTTCCTTGTTTGGTTTCCCTCGCAAACAAGCCCAACAAACGGCGCCCAACAGTTTAAAACACAGGCAAAAACCCGAATTGTTGCATTGGTCAACTGGTATTCTTTACTAAGGATCTCAGCTGAGATCAGCGCCCATGCTTTTGGTCAGGTTCCAGATTTGTTTCAATGCGCCCATTCGAAGGTGACCTTTGGAGCACCTTGAGCTGGGGTCTCCAACATGCTCCTCGCCCACGGACGAGGAACATGTCGGAGACCCCAGTTCAAGACGCCAGCAAAAGTAGAAGTAGAACCAGACTGGGCTATCCAAAGGTCCTTCATCCTTCCCTGCGGCTTATTCAAGGGGCTACCCGGAATTATAGATTGGGATCGAATCCTCCATTAATTTTTGCGAGTGAGTTACTGTACACCTGTTGCGCGGCTTAAAACCAGCGCACCTTTTGTTCTGCCACAGCTTAGTTGCACCTAGTTACACCCCTAAAGTTCTAGAATGCAACAAATTCTACCGGAGCAACCGCCCAAGGGTTTTGATCGGCGGACGCGGACGGAGGCCCTGCCCAGCCTTCTGGTGGACCTGCATCAGCACCGGTCCTGGGTGGACAAGATTGCCGCCGAGCCGCTGGAGAGTTTTGCCTGGGGGAGGTTCCCAAGCTGTCACACGTGGTCAAAAGAATCCCTTGGGGTGGTAGGGACGGCAATAAGGAATCAGGGTTGGGTGGCACCTTTAGAATTCCCTTTGTTTGGTGGGTATCCCGCTTCCGAACAAGAAATGGAATCAGGGTGCAAAGCCGGCTGGCAAAGGGGAACAACGCATGGGAGCTGGCGTTGGGCGAGCTG